ATAAATCGCGTTACAGAATTAACTTGACCAAACTTTATTTTGAAAGCCTCGATTTTATACTAGTACTATTTATAAGTTAAAAATGCAATTCTTATTTTTTACGCTAAGGCTTTCTCCATATTGTTGCAATTACGCAACAATGAATTATGCACGCGTACATATTTCGCGTACACCGGAAATCTATTCCCTCTGTGTTTTCATACAACAAATCTTACAATGTTCAAATTGAAATTTTTAAATTTTGAATTAAAACTGAAGTCACACTGATCGGCCAGAATGTAACGATTCTGTGTGTGATTGTTACTTTTTGTAGTGTTGGTGGCATAATTGGGGCTGTTGGTGTACTGATAAAGAGAAAACGAAGAAAACGATGACTGCTGACACTGTAGTTCGTCATRATTTAAAGACAATCCAAGAAGCACGATACATAAGATTCTTACCTGTAGAATTTTTCGGTGGTGACAAGACGATAAGAGTCAACGTGTTTTTTATTAATCAAAGTACGTTGTTTTAACATTTCAGCGGTATTACCCATATATATCACCATGTCGATCATTTGATGTTGTCAATTTTCTAGAAGCACCACGTGTTAACACCACGCCCTCTGAACGATCGATATTCCTACAATGGACTATTCAACCATGTTTTAAACTAACTCAACTTATCACTGGCTACCTTGTGGATGTAAGCACAAAAGAAGGAAGTAAATCAGTCAGGGTTGGTCCACTAGCTACAAGTAAAATCATCACAGGACTTCAGCCATACACTGAATATAAAATACGAGTCAAGGCTGTCCCGTATGGATTATGGAGTGATAACAAGTCCATCCAGACTGATATAGCAGGTTTGTTATCGTGAAGGAGACCTTTTTGGTATAAAATCTTATCTATATCCGGCTTTCACTTAGTTCCACAGGTAATCCAAAGCGTTGTTACGTTGAAAACCCTCTCGTCAAATTCTATCAGCGTCACGTGGAAGGTGAGAACATCAGACTGTTAGACTAAAATGACTGAATCTAACCAGAGGCTATTTCATGTCTTATCAGCATCCACAAAACCATTCTATCAACGGACCATTAAAAGGTTATAGAGTAACTTACACAACAAACAAAGGCCAGTCAAAGAATGTTGACGTAGGTGTGGTCAACACGTGGAATCTTACGTCACTAGAAAAGTGCACGTGGTACAGTGTAACGGTGTCAGTTAATAACTCCAAGTACATCGGTCCACCGAGTAAAAATTCCACTATAAGAATTGGAAATGGTAAGTGTTGATTTTGTCATTTATTGAATTAGCCCTGCATGATGTATTTGGTCTCCGATCACTAATTCCTCATTATCATTCACACGCCCAGAAATTTCCAGCAACATTAAAATGTTTTTATCACTTTATATAAAGATGAGTCTCGCTTTCAATTTTTTATGCTGACTGAGGTCTACCAATCGCGAGGACTGACAAGTGCAAAGCCTGAAGGGATATGGAATTTTGAATATCAAACAATCTCTAAAGAGGAACAAATAGCTAAATTCCCATGTCAATTTATAGTTGCTTACA